GACCATGAGATGTGACCTGGCTGAAGTGGACAGCTTAACCGCCACCTAGGCTAAGCCACCCAAGCCTCTCCAGCTACTTTCAAGGGGAGTGCTTTTCCTGTACTCTCCCCCCCCCCTTCTCTGTCCTCTCTCCGCAAATACCACTCCCTACCCTCCACAGATTCTCTCTCCCCAGTTCACCTCTCCATCCCGAATACCTGCCGAGTTCTGTGGCTTAAATTATGCAGATTGCTGTGTTAATCCTCAGATTAATTCTCTGGGTGTGCAAAGTGGTTTGATGCTGATCTAGTTGCATTTCAGGGATGAGAAGCAGAGAACTTTGATGCTGCTTTGCCATCTTGGACCCCTCCTCTGATTATATACTTTTTGATCTTTCCAGTGTGATCCTCCTTAACCATCTTATTTAAAATAAACATACTCTAGGGGCTCCTGGGTGTCTCAGTTGGTTAAGCAGCCAATTTCCTTAATAACTGTCACTTTCTAATATACTATATAATTTATTTATTAAATATATTATTTTTCATCTGTTTCCTGCCAATAGATGTAAGTTTCAGGAAAGCAGCAATCTTTGTTTTGTTCATTGATATGTCCTAAGCATGTAAAAGAATGTTTGGTACATAGTAGATAATAAATATTTGCTAAAATGAATGAATTTCTTCATAAAATATGGCATTTGCTTTAGGTTTTTGGTATGTAGCTTTTATTAGATAGGCAATTTCCCTTTAACTCTTAGTAAATTATATTTATAGGCTTTTTTGTTGTTAAACAATCCTTATGCTCCTGGGATTAGCCATTCTTGATCACGATTATTATTCCCCATTGGCTTTGGAGATCTGTTGTTGTAGCTAGGATTTTCAAATCTATGCTGAGAAGAGGAGTCCTTATCTGGTTATGGCATCAAGGTTATTCTAGCCTCATAAAATAAATTAGCAGTTTTCCCTCTTTTTCTGGTTTATGAAACAACTTTTATAACAGGGAATATCTGTTCCTTGAAAACTTGGCAGAATTTACTTGTAAAATTATCTAGGCTTGGAGCTTTAGGAAAGGAGAATGAAGGTAAATCTCTGATTATCTTTTTTATTTTAATGTTTTTATTTATTTTTGAGAGAGAGACAGAGCGCAATCAGGGGAGGGGTAGAAAGGGAGGGAGACACAGAATCTGAAGCAAGCTCCAGGCTCTGAGCTGTCAGCGCAGAGCCTGATGCGGGGCTTGAACTCGTGAACTGGGAGATTCTGACCTGAGCCGAAGTCGGATGCTTAACCGACTGAGCCACCCAGGTGCGCCTTTGATTATCTTTTTTTTTCTTTTTAATTTCTTTTAATGTTTATTTATTTTTGAGAGAGAGAGAGAGAGAGACACACACACACACACACACACACACACAGAGTGCAAATGGGAGAGGGGTAGAAAGCAAGGGAGACCCAGAATCTGAAGCAGGCTCTGGGCTCTGAGCTGTCAGCACAGAGCCTGATGCGGGACTCGAACTCATGAACCCTGAAATCATGACCTGAGCTGAGCTGGACACTTAACCGACTGAGCCACCCAGGTGCCCTGATTATCTTTTTAACATTTAAAATAGTTATTGGCCTATTCAGGTTTTCTGATTCTTCCTGTGACAGTTCAGCACTTTTGTGTTTTTTCTAAATATGCATTCTTTGTTTAGGTTTTCAAACTTATTACCACATATTTGCTTATAAAATTTTATTTTCACTTTATTTATTTATTTATTTATTTATTTATTTATTTATTTATTGTTTACTAAAAATGTTTATTTTTGAGAGAGTGCAAGCTGGGGAGGGGTAGAGACAGGGGGACAGAGGATCTGAAGTAGGTTCTGTGCTGACAGTAGTGAGCCTGATGTGGGGCTGGAACTCACAAACCATGCGATCATGACCTGAGCCAAAGTCAGATGCTCAACTGACTGAGCAGGCACCCCTTATTTATTTATTTTTTAATGTTTATTTATTTATTTTGAGAGAGAAAGTGTGTGAGCAGGGAAGGGGCAGAGAAAGAGGGAGAGAGAATCCCAAACAAGCCCCACACTGTCAGTTCAGAGCCAGACTCAGGCTCTATCTCATGAACCGAACCATGAGATTGTGACTTGAGCCATTATCAAGGGTTGGATGCTTAACTGACTGAGCCACCCAAGCGCCCCAGTATTTTACTTTTAAATCTTTACGGTATCTATATTATTTCCTCTGATTCTATATTTTTGTTCTATAGCTGTCTTTTTCTTAGTTAGGCTTGCTAGAAATTTAGGAACCAACTTTTAGTTATGTCCATCTTTTTTTCCTCTGGTCTGTTTTCATCAACTTCTTCCTTTGTATTTCTTTCAGCTTTCTTTGTGTTTGCAATGATGTGCTTATTGAAATGTCTTGAATGCTTAGCATATTTGTTTTGTGTCTCTTATTTTTCTCTTATTTTTTAAAATATAATTTTTTGTCAAATTGGCTAATGTAAAGTGTCTACAGTGTGCTCTAGGTTTTGGGGGTAGATTCCTATGATTCATTGCTTGCATACAACACCCAGTGCTCATCCCAATAAGTGCCCTCCTCAATGTTTTCTCTTATATTTTAATAAATGTATTTGAGGGCACCTGGGTGGCTCAGTTGGTTAAGTGTCTGATGTCACCTCAGGTCATGATCTCACGGTTCATGAGTTCGAGCCCTGTGCTGACAGCCCAGAGCCTGGAGCCTGCTTTGGATTCTGTGGTCTCCCTCTCTCTGCCCCTCCCCCATTCATGCTCTGTCTCTCTCTCTCAAAAATAAATATACATTTTGAAAAAAAAATAAATGTATTTGAAGCCGTAAGTCTCCTTTTAAATGTTATATTCCTTAAATTTTAATATTTTTTGTCTTTAGTTTTACTTTAATTTATAGTTTACTTTGTAACTCAAGGGCTATTTATTACTATGTCTTTACTTTCTAGACATAATGGCATGTATATGCCATTGTGAGGATATACATGTTGAGCAACACTGCACTGGTCCACTTATGTAGATTATTTTCAGTTAAATACACTGTGGTACTATAAATGTATTTCCTCTTCCCTATGATTTTCTTTTTTTTTTTAATTTTTTTTCAACGTTTTTATTTATTTTTGGGACAGAGAGAGGCAGAGCATGAACGGGGGAGGGGCAGAGAGAGAGGGAGACACAGAATCGGAAACAGGCTCCAGGCTCCGAGCCATCAGCCCAGAGCCTGACGCGGGGCTCGAACTCACGGACCGTGAGATCGTGACCTGGCTGAAGCCGGACGCTTAACCGACTGCGCCACCCAGGTGCCCCTGATTTTCTTAATAACATTTTCTTTTCTCTAGCTTACTTTATTGTCAGAATATAGTATATAATACATATGACACACAAAATATGTGTTAATCCACTGTTTATGTTATTGGTAAGGCTTCTGGTCAACAGTAGGCTATTAGTAAAGTTGTGGGGGAGTCAAAAGTTATACTCAGATTTTTGACTGTTCAGGGGAGAGAGGTTGGTGTCCCTAAATGCTCATCTTGTGCAAGGGTCAACTATACTTTAACATTTTTCCTTTTGTTATTGTTTGGGGTTTTGTTCTTTTTTTAATTAACTCTAGCAATAATTCAAAGGATGTCTTCCTTTTCTCACATTTATTTATTTATTTTTTAAAAAAAAATTTTTTTTTCAACGTTTATTTATTTTTGGGACAGAAAGAGACAGAGCATGAACAGGGGAGGGGCAGAGAGAGAGGAAGACACAGAATCGGAAACAGTCTCCAGGCTCTGAGCCATCAGCCCAGAGCCTGACGCGGGGCTCGAACTCACGGACCGCGAGATCGTGACCTGGCTGAAGTCGGACGCTTAACCGACTGCGCCACCCAGGCGTCCCCTTTTCTCACATTTAAAGTTGTGTCATATTAAATTGAATCTGAGATACTATTGATTATAAAGTGCAACATTATTTTATGTTCTAAGAAAGAAAAATAAGAAATTGGAATTAAACCCTGACAGGTAATTTCCTGTCCTTTAGAATTTTTATTTTGTTCTTATTAACAGAGTTCTTTTAAATATATTTGGGGGGCACCTGGGTGGCTCAGTTGGTTAAGCATCTGACTTTGGCTCAGGTAGTGATCTCACAGTTTGTGAGTTCGAGCCCCCTGTCCAGCTTTGTGCTGATGGTTCAGAGCCTGGAGCCTGCTTCAGCTTCTGTGTCTCCCTCTCTCTTTTGGCCCCTCCCCTGTTTGTGTGCACTCTCTCTCTCTCTCTCTCTCAAAGATCAATAAATAGACATTAAAAATTTTTTTTAATTGTATTTGGGCATGTAAATTTTTATCATATATCATTCTCTACAAACATAAAAAGGAATATAAATATATGAAATAAAATGGTTAATATTTTTCTAGATATTTACCACTGCCACCTGGCCACAGTAATTGTAAATTGTTCCTGGTTGTAAAATGCATCCAACTTTCAAAGATGTCAAAATGTAAAAGATGTAGATCTTAGAATCAGTGAAATAAGATATATTTTAATATCAAATGTTAAAAGGTATATCTTTTTTGTAAAGCAAGTGGAGTGAAGTATATGGGTATTACACCATGATTTCCTTAATTTATCTGAGAAGTATTTATTTTTTTTAATGTTTATTTATTTATTTTTGAGAGAGAGAGCATGCGTGCAAGTGGGGGAAAGACCGAGACAGAGAGGGAGACACAGAATTCGAAGCAGGCTCCAGTCTCTGAGCTTTCAGCACAGAGTCCAATGTGAGGCTTGAACCCACAAACCATGAGATCATGACCTTAGCTGAAGTTGGATGCTTAACTGACTGAGCCACCCAGGTGTACCTCTGAAAGGTATTTAAGTAAATCATTCTGATTCCAGGAAATTAAAACATGCTTGTTTGCATATAAAGTCTGAAAGAAAGAAGTTAATCTTTTCAATAGTAGATGCCAAGGCTAATAATTACTGCATAAAAGTTGAATCAACAAATCATACCAATAAAGACACTCTTGTTTCTTCTCTTTTTAAGGCAAAAGCAACAACAATCAAAGAAGCTCTAGCCAGATGGGTGAGTATATGAATTTTTACCTCTTCTAGAGACCATACAAGGAGAGTTTTTGGATAGGTATTTAAATCTGATCATTCAATACAAGGAATCTTTGTGGTACAGGAGCTATTTAGCTATTTTGACTGTGGGGGTTGGTACATGAACCTACACAGATAAAATTGTATACACTTAATACACACATACAAAAGCATTTATACTCATATATAAATGAATACTAGCAAAATTGGGAAAATCTGATTAAAATCAGTGGGCTATATCATTATCAGTATCCTAAATGTCTATCAGTGGATAAATGGATTTAAAAATGTATATATATACAGAATGGAATATTATTCAGCCACAAAAAGGAAATCCTGCCATTTATGACAACACGGATGGACCTTGAGTGCATTATGATAAGTGAAATAAGTCAGACAGAGAAAGACATACTCTATGATCTCACTCATATGTGAAATGTAAAAAAGCTGAATGCACAGAAACAAAAAATAGAATGTTGATTGCTGGGGATTGGCATGTGGGGGACTTGGGGAGATGTTGGTTAAAGGGTACGACTTCTAGTTATAAGACAAGTTCTAGGCATCTGATATACAGCATGGTGACTATAGTTAATAATATTGTATTATATACTTGAAAGTTGCTAAGAGAGTAGATCTTAAATATTCTCAGCACTAAAAAAAAAATTATGTGAGGTGATAGATGAGTTAGCTAATCTTATTGTGTTAATCATTTTGCAATATATGCATGTATCAAATCATCACCTTAGACTTATACAATGTTACATGTCAATAAAGCTGGAAAACATACTAAAGCAGATACTAACATTAGAAAGGAAACTGCATTGTAAAAAACATGCATTAAATATAAACTATAAATATTTTGAATATAACATTCTATAAAGAATGTTGAACAGTTGTAATTCAACATTATAGATGTTTGAACAGTAGTAATTCAGCATTATAGATATACTTTCCACAGAGTATAGAGATGGCTCCTCAATTTCTATGCCCTGTGATAGCTTTTTTGTCAATGTTATCAATAGTTTTTTTGTATAACAATGCATCTTTTGCTTTTGTAGCTAGGCTTTGAATAAAAAGTCTTTCAGGAGATGGTGTCTAGGGAAAATAGGGTGGATAGAATAAAACATTCTTGAATTCTTGTTTTAGTGCTTATAAACTTCTTTGTACTCTGCCTTTAAAAACCACATTTCTGGTGGTGCCTGGGTGGCTCAACTGGTTAAACATCCAACTCTCAATTTCAGCTCAGGTCATGATCTCACAGTTTATGAGTTCGAGCCCTGCATCGGGCTCTGTGATGACAAGCTTGGAGACTGCGTGGGACTCTGTTTCTTCTTCTCTCATTGACCCTTCCCCACGCTCGCTTGCATGCTCTCTCTCTCTCTCAAAATAAATAAATAAACATTTAAATTAATTAATTGATTGATTAATTCATTTCTGTTTGGTTAATGAAAAATCTGGAGTTTTGTTTGTTTGTTTTTTGTTATTTTAAGAAGGCTCTGTGTCCAGCATGGAGCCCAATGCAGGGCTTGAACTCATGACCCTGAACTGATGTCAAGAGTTGGACACCTAACCGACTGAGCCACCCAGGTGCCCCAAATCTGTTTTGTTAAAGAAAAAAGTACATATGGAATAGGCTTGTTATTAGATTAGATTTTCTTTGAATCAGATTTTAGGACTTTATTTACTTATGATAATAAGTAATTGCTTTTTTGGTTTGGGTTGTTGGTTCTATTTCTAGATCATATTGTGGCCATAAATCTTTGACTTTAAGATTATTTGAAGACATTAAGCTCACTCTTTCACTGATTAATCTAACATTTATTGAGGGTCTATTAGGTATGTGTTTCTGTTCCCCTAACCTACAAATGTATGGCACAAAAATAAGTACCAAGTGGATGTGTATTAGATCTTTTTTTTCAACTGATCGTATATTTTCTAGTATTGATATCTTATTATCTGACTTTTAAAAATAAGCCTCTATGTGTCTTATATTGCACTATGTTATAGAAAACATAGGAAAGCAAAGGAAATGGTCCCTGCACCTTAGGAGCTTCCTGTTTTGTTGGAGAGAACTGACTTTAAGTATTGAGGTAGTTAGAAAATATTATGATGCAGTATATATTGATAATTAAATTTTAAATTGTGTACATAGTACTGAAATTAAACTTTATGGTAGAATTTATTTTAAAGCTTTTTTTAAGTTTATTTAGGGGTGCCTGGGTGACTCATGTCATGATCTCATGGTTTGTGAGTTCAAGCCCTGCATCACGCTCTATGCTGTCAGCACAGAGCCTGCTTCAGATCCTCTGTCTACCTCTCTCAGCCCCTCCCCCACTTGCTCTCTCTCTCTCAAAATAAATTTTTTAAAAATTGAAACAAAATTATTTATTTTGAGAGAGAGAGAGAGAGAGAGAGTACATGTGCACTTGTGAGTTGGGGAGGGGCAGAGAGAGAGGGAGAGAGAATCCCAAGCAGGCTCCAAGCTTGTCATCACAGAGCCCAACTCCTTATGAATCGGGAGATCATGACCTGAACTGAAATCCAGAGTCGGTTACTCAACCTACTGAGCCACCCAGGAGCTCCTCTAAGGTAGAATTTAGTAGTAAATTATTATAGAGCAAACAGCTTTGACCTCAGCTGTGTTGTAAAGATTTCCAAAATTCTTGGTATCTGGGGTTCTATCTCAGACTGAACCATGTATAGCAAAAGATTTGCAAGAAGAGATGCAAAATAGTTGAATCTTCCAGATCTACATCTGATATTTAAGAAAAGGGTGATTAGCCACAAGGAATTCTTCCCAAGAAAATGTTGTCGTGTTTTGTTTTTGTTCATTGATAGACTCTTAAAGAATTTTAAATGTTACAGAAATAAAAGTTATTTTCTTTCCTCCTCCTTTCATTCAGTTGGAATCTAACAATTATCTGAACGAGCCATGTAAAAGCCTGGTGATCAGGGTTAGTTAGTAAATCTCATTAAGTGAACTGTAAAGAATGCACAGAGTTACAAAATTCTGATAATTGTTTTGAAATAAACATTGAAAAGCCTTGCAAAATTCTGGACTTTAGTTCTGTATTATAATCAGGGATCACTTTCTTCCAAATTAATTTTTATCATAGGAAGAGAAAACCAGTCAGAAGCCATCTGAAGCCAAAGAGATAAAGCTTTATGCTCAGATTCCCCCTATAGAGAAGATGGATGCATCTCTGTCCACACTTGCTAATTGCGAGTAAGTTCTCTTGTGTTTTTTCCCCTTCCTTTTTAACATACATAAACTAGAAAAAAAGTGTTTGTTTTCTGTGATCTTTGTTTCTTTTTGTTTGTTGGTTTGGTTAATATAATTCTCCCTTTGGCAAAGCCAAACATAAAAGATTATTGGTTTATGGGGGACTAGTAATAAAGTAACCCTGAATGATATAGTACTTTTTTTTTATGTTTATTTATTTTTCAGATAGAAAGTGCCAGCAGGGGAGGGGCAGTGAGTGAGGGGGACAGAGGATCCAAAACAGGCTCTGCTCTGACAACAGCGAGCCCGATGTGGTGCTCAAACTCACAAACTGTGAGATCATGACCTAAGCCGAAGTTGGATGCTCAACTGACTGAGCCACCTAGGTGCCCCAATATAGTACTTTTTTTTCAGTAAAATTTTTATAATGTGCCTGGAAAATAGAATTTTTCTTGTCTCTTGGGAGAAACTAAATAACTAAGTAATACAATAAGACTTTTATAAAAGCTAGTATTTCTCTTGTAAAATTAGCCAGTCAGTACTATACAGACTAGAGGCCTAACAGATACTGCTTTAAATTTTTTCAATTGTAAAAATGCATTGTTAAAACATCTAGAAAATATAAAAAGCACAAAGGAAAGGAATTAATATCAACCAAAATTGCACCATCTTTTGAGAATCAGTGTTAGCATGTTGATACAGAGCCTTCTAATTTTTCTTTCCTTATTGGGATCAAATTATACTTATCATTTTATAATCCTATTTTCCCATGACTTTAAGTATCAGATCTATATTAATTCCTCTTTTTTTAAAAATTAATTTATTTATTTTGAGACAGCATGGGTGGGGAAAGAGTGGGGAAGAATCCTAAGCAGACTCTGTGCTGTGCTGTCAGTGCAGAGCCTGATGTTGTGCTCAAACCAGGAGATCATGACCTGAGCCGAAATCAAGAGTTAGATGCTTAACTGACTAAGCCACCTAGGCACCCCTATATTAATTCCTCTTAAGTTATTTTCTCAATACTCTACATACTTTTTTAGCAAGGTTCTGTGGATAATTTGAGGCAATTATACCATGACACCTTGTGACCATGCTCTCAGGCTGCAGTGTCTTGTTGGAGCTGTAGATTGTTATAGAATCACTTGGGATTCTTCCTGATTTCTTTAGTCTGTGTTTTTCTAAATGTAGCGCACTAACTACCTACATAAGAATTTCCTAATGCAGGAGGTAAGCCCCACACCAAATATATAGAAATAGAGTATCTACTGATGAAACCTAGGAATCTATAATAAGCAGCTTGAGTGACTCTTCTATGCATATTTGTGAACCCATGCATTAGACTAATATCTGTCTTTGGAATGAAAGGGAGAAGCAAACATATTTAGTTATTGTATGCAACTTGTCCTTTATGATAAGAGCACTGTGTATTATATGAAAATCCACCCTAGATTTTTTTTTGGCTTTAAAAGCATGATTCCAAAGAGCACTGTTTCAAAGTGGTCAAATATCTTTTTATCATAAAGCCATCTCAAAGGCAAATGTTTGGGAAGGTTTTGTACCTGGTACCAAATTATCTTGGAACTGCTTGGAAGGAGTCAGCCTGTTCATACTTTGGCTGACAATCTCTTTGGGCAGATTGCCTAAACAACAATTAAAGAATTCATCCCAGTCATATTCCCAGATTTAAGGCACTCCATTTTTCACTGGGAGTTGTCAGGAATTGGGGATGGCTAGAAAATATACAGATTTGATCACTAATTTACACTACAGTAATTGCTTTTGTAAAAAAATGAGTAATTCTTTTTCAAGTCAAATCATAAAGGATAAGATCACATGTTCTAGAGTCAGTTTTTGGAGAGTTTTAAATTTGGCTCTGCCTCTTTATGGCTGTGTAATATTAGGCAAATTGCTTAACATCTTTGTACCTCAGTTTCCTCACTTGTAAAATGCAGATAATAATACTTATTTCACAGGATTGTTGTGATGGTTAAAACAAACAAAACCGGTTTATGTAACAAGTACTTAGACGAATACTGGGCACACGTGGTGTTCAATAAAATTAGCTTTTATTACATTTTTTGCATGAAATGTACTGAAATATTAAAACTTTTGTCAAGAAAGGAAGACTAAGAATGTGTAGTTATGCTCCCTTTAAAATTTTTATATAGTTAAATTATGAGTAGAAAAAACCTAGAGAAATATATACAAACCATTAAAAGTAGTTATCTCTGGGGATATCTGTGGAATGGTTAGCATTACATTATGACTTCTTCAGCATACATTTCTGAATGATTTAACACATGAGCAGATAAATATCTTCACACATGCATATAATATAGTTCTGCTTTTTATCAAAAGGGATCACATAAAATGTTTTGTTCTGCTAGATGGTTTTTTAACTTGACCACATATCATAGATGTCTTCCCAAGCTGGTATCTGGAGCCTAATTTCATTTGTTTTAGTGACAGTATAGTTTTTCATTATCTATCCCTCAGTTGCTAGATGTTTAGAGATTTTTCCCTATTTTTTGCTATTACAATAATACAATAAATAATCTAGCTTATATATCTTTTGGCATTGTATTAGTATTTCAGTAGGATTTATTCTTAGAAATGAATTACTAGGTCAAAGAACACATGCATTTAAAAAAATTAATAAATAATACTAAATTACCTTCAAAAAGTTTTTTTTTAATTTTCTGCAATGAATATGTATTAACTTTGTGATCAGAAAAAAAGGATGAGGATTTCAAAATGAAAGAATACATGCCATGTCTGAGGGGGAAAAAGATTTAGTATAAAAAGAAAATATGACTTAAATATTATCTTCTATGGGCACTTGAGGAATAATTTCTGATAAACCATTTATTTATTTTTCTGATACATCATTTAAAATTGTTTCATATTAATTCAAGTTTTCCTTTGTTCTTTTCAAGGAAGCTTTCACTGTCTACAAACTGCATTGAAAAAATTGCCAACCTCAATGGCTTAAGTAAGTGATCCACAGTAACAGATGGTTCTTGGGTTTTCTCATTATTGGAATAAACATTCTAGAGACACTATGTAATACCAGAAGCTAGCACCTGTTTTAACCACAGTAATTGTCAGATGACAGAGAAAATATATAAACCATGTGTCTTAAATTTGGTTATCCAAAGAAAATCAGAGAGAACAAAAGACCTAAACATTTTAAAGATGTTTTAAAGCTTTTATAGAGTTAGAATTAAATATAAAAATGAGATTTTTTTATTATATGTATTTTGTTCAAATTTGTCTTGTCTTTCTTTCTTTCTTTCTTTCTTTCTTTCTTTCTTTCTTTCTTTCTTTCTTTCTTACTTTATTTTTAAGAATTCCAGGTGGTATTCTGGAACTTTTTATTTATTTATTTTTAAGTTTATTTATTTATTTTGGAGAGAGAGAGAGTGAGTAAGGGGCAGAGAGAGAAGAAGAGAGAGAGAGAATCCCAAACAGGTCCTGTACCATTAGCAGAGAGCCAGACATGGGGCTTGAACCCATGAACTGTGAGATCATGACCTGAGCTGAGTCGGACCAAGAGTAAGAGGCTTGGGGCGCCTGGGCAGCTTAGTCGATTAAGTGCCTGACTTCGGCTCAGGTCATGATCTCATGGTTTGTGAATTTGTGTCCCACGTCGGGCTCTGTGCTGACAACTCTGAGCCTGGAGCCTGCTTCGGATTCTGTGTCTCCCTCTCTCTCTCTCTGTCCCTCCCCTGCTCATTCTCTGTCTCTCTCTCAAAAATAAACAAAAGAAAAAAAGCCAAAGTCTTAACTGACTTAGCCTCTCAGGTGCCCCAATACTTGTTATATTTAAATTTTAATTCCTCACCATCATTTTTCTTGTGTTCCTTATCTGTGTTAATGATGTTGCCACCATCCCAGTTGCCAAGGCTTCTGACTCCTGCTAATTTCCTATGTTTGGTGAAACTTGGTGGTTTAAAACAATAGTTCTGAAAAACAACAGCAAGAACAAAAACAGTTCTGGAGGCCAGAAGTCTGAAATTGGTTTTAGTGGGCCAAAATCAAGGTTTTGACCAAGCCACACTGCCTGAAGGCTTTAGGGGAGAATCTGTTCCTTGTTTCTTTTAGATTCTGATGGCTGCCACGTTCCTTGGCTTGTGAGGACATCACTCTAATCTCTGCCTCTGTGGTCATGTTGACTTCTCCTCTTTCATCTGTGTCACATATTTATTTCTCTGCCTCCTTTTTTTATTATTAATATTTTTAAATTTATTTTTGAGAGAGAGCATGAGCAGGGGAGGGTCAGGGGGGTGGTGCAAAAGATCCAAATCAGGCTATGCACTGAGAGCAGCAAGCCCAATGTGGGGCAGAAACTCATGAACTGCAAGATCATGACCTGAGCCAAAGATGGATGCTCAACTGACTGAGCCACCCAGGCACCACTCTCTGCCTCCTTCTTAAGAAGATTAATATTATTGGAAGTAGCCTGGGTGGCGCCGGTCCGGACAAGTCGACTTTCGCTCAGATCGCGATCTCCTACCGAATCCGAGGGGATTCTGAGCCTTGTCAGGAGCTCATGATAGCTCAGAGCCTGGAGCCTGTTCCGTTCCTGTGTTCTCCCTCTCTCTCTGCCCCTCCCCCCCGTTCAAATATACTGTCTCTCTCTGTCCCAAAAATAAAAATAAAAAACGTTTGAAAAAAAAAAAAAATTAAAAAAAAAAGATATAATGATTATTTAAGAGAACACCTGGATAATCAAAATTTCCCTAAGATCCTAACCCCAGTGGCAACCTACAAAGTACTCCCATGCCCATAGAGTAGCATTCTGGGTTCGAGGTTAGGATCAGACTTATCTTTTGGTAGGAATTATTTAACTCCATGCTCACTTGCTGCTTTATAAGACATCTGGCAGGTTCATGCTGAGTCCTGTTTACTCTTGTGAGAAGCTCTTTAAATAATTTAATTTGCTTTTCTACTATGGTTTATTTAAAGACCACATCATCTCTTATGTACAATTTTCAAACATTTTTTTTCCACTTTTTCCATAGGGAATGCATTTACAGGTCATGACTCAGAGAAGTACATATATTCATATGTATGAATATTACACGCCCTCAGAAATATACATCATGGCAGCAAGTGGAATGGTTTGTAAAACAACTCCCCTTCCCACCCTTATATAGCATAAGTTCCAGTGTAGTTCTTATTTTTAATGTTTGTTTTATTTTTGAAAGGAGAGAGAGAAAGAGCATGAATGATGAAGAGAAGGCAGAGAGAGAGAGAGAAACACAGAATCAGCAGTCCAGGTTGAGCTGTTAGCACCCAAGAGCTTGCTGCAGGAGTTCAACCAGAAACCCTGAAAGAAAGTGGGATGCTCAACAACTTTGAGCCCCAGAGCACCCTCAGTATAAGTTTTTAAAGATTTCATAATTTTAAAAATGCTTGTCACAACCACCGTAAGTTGATTCCATATCACTATAGTTTGAAAACACTGTGGGGAGGTGCCTGGGTGATTTCAGTTGGTGCTTTCCTCGACTCTTTTTTTATGTTTATTTATTTTGAGAGAGTGCAAGTTGAGAGGGGGCAGAGAGAAAGGGCAACAGAGGATCCAAAGCAGGCTCTGTGCCCCAGCAAGAGAAACTTCCTGATGTGGGACAGACATGGTTTTCAGGCAGTAAAGTTGGACACCTAACCACCCTGACAAGGCGCCCCTAAACATCTGACTCTTGACTTTGGATCAGGTCATGATCTTAGGGTTGAGATCAACCACAAGGCAGGGGCTCCAGCTGCTGGGCATGGAGCCTGCCCATGTCTCTTTCCTCTGCCCCTCTCCCCTAACATGTGCTCTCTGTGAAAGAAGAAAGAAGAAGAAAGAAAAGAAAAGAAAAAGAAAAGAAAGAAAGAAAAGAGAACAGGGAAAAGGAAGGAAGGTAGGAAGGAAGGAAGGTAGGAAGGAAGAAAGAAAAGAAAAGAAAAGAAAAGAAAAGAAAAGAAAAGAAAAGAAAGAGAAAAACACTGCCTTATGACTTTTGTGATAGCCTCCTAATTGATCTTTTTGTCTCCTTTCACCCAGTTGACATTGAACATTGATAGCAGGGGTTTCTTTCTAAAAATATTATTCTTGGGGCGCCTGGGTGACTCAGTTGGTTGAACATCTGACTCATGATAAAATTGGGTTTCCAAAGCCCTGCATGAACTCTGTCTCTTTCTTTGACAACAGATCATAGACCTCTTTGATTCTGTGTCTCCCTCTCTTTCTCTCTGCCCCTCCCCTGGTTACACTGTCTCTCTCTCTGTCTCTCAAAAAATAAAATGTTTAAAAAAATGTTTTTTTATATTATTTTCATTATCATTCCTCCAGATCAGAGACCTTTAATGGTTCCCCTTTGCCTAGTAAAGACCAAATGCCTTAATGTTGCATTCAAAGTCATCTAAAATCTGTGCCACCCTATTCACACCTGAATACATCATTCTTTTTTATGACTTTATGCATTTGTTAATGCAATGCTTTTTTCCTTTGAGAATAGCCCCTTCCTCAACATGAAAATCCTGCAAAAAACAAAATTAAGATTAAGAATGTCAAGTTTAAATGTCATTTCTCCCTCTAAAGACTTCTCTAGTGATTGTCATAATTATTCTTTCTCTTTTTTTAATGTTTATTTATTTATTTTTGAGAGACCAAGAAAAAGCACAGAGGAGGGGCAGAGAGAAAGGGAGAGAATTCCATGTGGGCTCTGTGCTCATAGTGCCACCCAGGCACCTCCATTATTACTCTTTCTTTAGGAATATTAATAACTGTCTTGGATTATAATAATAAATACCCACTTCATATAGTTATTGTGAAGATTAAATGAGTTAGTATATATAAAGTGTTTTGAATAGTGCCTGGTACATATAAGTGCTCAAGAAATATTAGCTATTATTATGGTTAGTGAAGAATATGTTCTGTCTCTTCAGATAATGAGCTCCTTGAGTGTAAACATCACATCTTACTATCTTATCTTCCAAATCTCCATCCTCCTCCCAGGACCTTACCTAAAGTTGGCATTCAGTATTTATGTAGTCCTGGAGAAGAAGCATTTACTATTAGAGCTGTGCATAAGATGACTCAGTATATTTGTTTTTCACTGACTCATTAAACAATTTGAGATGTTTCACTTTACCATTAACCCTTGAACAACATGGGTTTGAACTGTGTGGGTCTATTTACATGCTGATTTTTTTTTTACAGCACTATAAATTTATTTTCCTTTCATTCTTGAATGTATTTTCTTTCTTTTATGATTTTCTTTTTTTTAAACTTTTTTTTTTTATTTTTGAGAAGAGAGAGACAGAGCATGAGTGGGGGAGGAGAGAGAAAGAGGGAGTCACAGAATCTGAAACAGGCTCCAGGCTCTGAGCTGTCAGCACAGAGCCCAATGTGGGGCTGAACTCACAGACTGTGAGATCATGACCTGAGCCGAAGTCGGATGCTTAACCAACTGAGCCACCCAGGCGCCCCTCTTTCATGATTTTCTTAATATTTTCTTTTCTCTAGGTTTATTGTAAGAATATAATATATAATACATATAACATACAAAATGTGCATTAATGGACTGTTGACCAAGGCTTCTGCTCAGTAGCAAGCTATTAGTCATTAAGTTTTGGGAGAGTAAAAATTTACACTCAGATTTTCAACTGCCTGGGGGTTGGCATTCCTAACTCCTATGTTATTCAACAATTATACAGACACTTTGTCTATAATTGAAATAACTTGCTTTAATGAGATTAAATTGATGATATTTTTTTAAAGTTTATTTTCAGAGAGAGAGAGAGAGAGAGAGAATCCCAAGCAGGCTCCATGCTGACAGCATGCCTGACGCGGGCCTCTATCTCACAAACACTGAGATATGACCTGAGCTGAAATCAAGAGTTGGGGGGCACCAGGTGGCTTAGTCGGTTAAGCGTCCAACTCTTGGTTTCAGGTCAGGTCATGATCTCATGGTTTGTGGGTCCTAGCCCTGCAGAGGGCTCCTC